TGTAAATTTCATGACTTCATCTTTTCTAACAGCTGCATAGTACTCCATTGTGTAGGTGTACCAAAGTTTCTTTAACCAGTCTTCTGTTCTCGGGCACTCAGGATTTTTCCAGATTCTGGCTATTGTAAACAGTGCTGCAATGAACAAACAAGTGCAGATGTCACTTCGACTATACTTTTTTGCTTCTCTGGGATATATTCCCAGGAGTGGTATTGCTGAGTCAAATAGGAGCTCAATTTCTAATTTTTTGAGAATCGTCCACACTGTTTTCCAAAAGGGCTGAACCAGTCGGCATTCCCACCAGCATCCACACCAGCACCAGTTGCTTTTGTTCTTGTGGATGTGGGCCAGTCTCTGTGGTGTGAAATGATATCTCATTGTGGTTTTGATCTGCATCACCCTGATGATTAATGAGGTAGAGGATTTCCTCATGTGCCTTTTAACCATTCAGATTTCTTCTTTGAGAAAGTTTCTGTTCATTTCATCTCCCCATTTTTTGATGGGGTTGGATGTTTTCTTCTTGTGGAGTTCAACCAGTACTTTGTATATCCTTGATATCAATCTCTTGTTAGATGGGTATTGTCCTAGCACATGGTCTATTTTGGAAAATGTTCAGTGTGCACTGGAGAAGAATGTGTATTCTTTCTTTTGGGGGTGTAAAGCCCTGTATAGGTTTATAAGCCCTCTCTCTTCTATTTATTCCTTCAACGCCAGTGTTTCCTTGCTGAGTTTTGTTCTTATTGATCTATCCAGAGATGATTAGGTGATATAGAAGTCTCCGACTACTATTGTGTTGTTAGCAATGTCCTCCTTAATATCTGTTAGCAGTTGTTTTAAATATTTAGCTGTTCCCTCATTAGGTGCATATACATTTAAGAGTGTGATTTCTTCCTGTTGTACATATCCCTTGATAAATAGAAAATGGCCTTCGCTGTCCCTTCTAATCTTTTTCAATCTAAAATTTGTGTTGTCTGATACTAGTATGGCCATCCCTGCTTTTTTGAGGGAACTGTTAGCTTTCAGGATTGTTTTTCATTCTTTAACTTTGAGTCTGTGTTTGCTCTGACTGTTCAGATGAGTTTCTTAGAGGCAGTAGAATGTTGGGTTCTATCTCTGAATCCATTTTGCCACTCTGTGTCTCTTAATTGGTGAATTTAGACCATTGATGTTGAGAGAGATTATTGTTATGGGGTTTGTGTCATCATTCTGTAAGGGTCTGTTGTCCTTGTAGGGTTTGTCTTGTCTTATCGTAGCCCCTTTAGCCCTTCTTTTAGGTTTGGTTTTTGTGTAAACTCACACAAAAGGGGGCACAGCACACAGTGGCGGTGGCTCTATCTCTCCCGCCACCCGCATTCGGTAGTCTCACCCTTCTTCCACCCTGGAGAGGTCGATGGTGATGGTCAGGCGGAGGAAGGAAACGAGGGTCAGGCTGGTTGATATTAGTCGCAGTTTATTCCGATCCTCTCTCCATCTACACCGGTCTCCTTCTCTGCCTCCACTCTCTCTTTCCATTTCTGCAGTCTCATTATATCTCTCTCCAAGAGGAATCAGGGGAACAATTACACATAGGTGGGGTCACAATCAATAGGGATAGAAATCTTAGCCTCAGGGAAAGCCGCTCCTAGGACAGATCCTCATTATCAGATCAATCCACCCTTGAGCAATTCTCCTGGGTGTGTATCTCCTCTCCTTGTCTAGCAAACATATAAGCATATATAATATAAATCATTTTGTATGGATACAGTAAGAAATATCTTTAACTTATAGAATTGCTCTCCTAGGGCCATCTGGATCTCAGACTACAGTGCTCAGGCCAGATAGTCTTTCCCACCCTAGCAGGATCCTAGTCTCATCCTTACCTTTGGATTATGACAGCATTTGTCTATGATCAAACTCTTAACTTATAGTTAAAAATCATGGCACTTTGGCCTGGCCCATTTTGCCAGGGTAGCTTAACACTTGCCCTGGGTCCATTCAGTCCCTCATCAGGACCCTGCTTTTGGGGTGTTAGGAACCAAGGGCAACTGAAGCTTAAGTCGAGAAAGCAGATGCCCAAGAGTGAATAATATTCAAAGCCAATCAAATCCCAAGTTACAAAGCATAATGTTAACGGTCTTCCTGTATCTATACAAAAAGAATATTGCTTTAAAGTAAACTGTTCATAAGGCATAAGGAGAAGAGAAAGGCAATATTTCACTCATACATATAAAATCATAGAATTCTGGGAAACTGACTTTACAAATTAACAGTCTGATTAGGGGGAAAGCTGATTAACTGGGTGGGGAGGAGAGCATAGGGAAGACTGTTTACAGATAAACACAATGGAATGGAAGTGCCTCAGGAGCACTGTGATGGGTGTAACCAGATAAACCTAAGCTTCTTGTGGAAGAAGGACAAAGCAATGTCACCCTACAGGTTTTGAGTCTATGAAGTTCCTGAGCTGATGTTTATCCACAAAATAGTGTACAATTCCTTTGAGTTTGAGCGAGAGTTTACCTGGATATAGTCTTGGTGAAGCATTTGTTTCAGTGAGTTTTTTCACTATATCCCACCATTGCCTTTGGGTTTGGGGGTTTCCTGTGATAGGTCTGCTGTGAATCTAAGGGGTGCTCCTTTGTATGTGATTTCCTTCTTTGACCTTGCTGCTTGCAGTATTGTGTCTCTATCCATGGCATCCATGATTCTAACTATGATATGTCTTGGAGTGTTTTTGTTAGGGTCTCTTTTAGCTGGCACCTTTCGGGCTCCTTGAATCTGAATGGCTGCATTGTCCAGCTCTGGGAACTTTTCAGCAATGATTTGTTTAATTATGACTTTTTCATTTGGATTGTTTCCCTGACCTTCTGGTACTCCATTGATTCTAATGTTGTTCCTCTTGGAGTAATCTCTTAGGAGTCTGATTTGCTCTTGAGCTATTTTGAGGCCTTTTACATTATTTGTTGTTGCCTGTTGGCCTGGTGCAGCTGATCTTCCAGTTCACTGATTCTGTCTTCAGCTGTGGCCATTCTACTTTTGAGGACACAGACTGAGTTTTTTATTTCATCCATTGAATCTTTTATTCGTGACATTTCTGTGTGTAGCTTTCCAATTTCTGCTCTCATTTCTTCCTGGATTTTCTCAATTGTCTGATTCATTGTTTATTTCATGTCCTCCTTCAATTTACTGGATATCTGTCTCACTGTTTCATTGAGTTCTTTGAACATCTTCATTACTTCATATCTGAATTCTTTCTCAGAGAGGTCCCTTAGGTGAGTAGCACCTACTCAGGGTTCTGTACTCTTTTCATCGTTCTCCCCTCGTGGTGGGGATTTGTGTTGTTTCTTCATGTTGGTGTGGAGGTATGGAGACTGAGATGTTACACGAGATTGCTGGGTATGAGCAGTTTACCTGTGGCTCAAAATTAGTCCATGCCCACTTCTACAGAAGCCCCACCCACTTCTGAAGAGGCCACACCCCCTACGGGTACCTGGTGTGTGGGGGGAGTACAACCTTGGGGAAGAAGACCAGGCACAGCGTTGGGGAGGATCAGGAAGAGGCTCAGGGATGGTGAGCGTCCTGGGTCTTTATTCTTTAAGGAAATGTTAATAGCTACTACTGAAGTACTGAAGGGCCCAACTGACTTTCTTCCCACATCCCTGAGTGATACATATTGGGGAAAAAAAACATTTGGGGACATGTTGGGCAAAAGTCTATCAGACATCAGCACATTTCTATCTTTTACAATCAATAGTCCAGTAGATAAGAAGAAAGATGGATGACATATGGCACCTGTGTATTAACACACTCATAAGTAATTATGATTGTGAGTGATTTCTAGAGTTCTCAGGGGGCGAGTGATACACTGAGAATGGATATTCTAAAGGTGATGAAGGGTGTGTGTGTGTGTGTGTGTGTGTGAGAGAGAGAGAGAGAGAGAGAGAGAGAGCGAGAGAGAGAAAGAGAGAGAAAGAGAGTAAAACTAAATTTTGCAAGGGGTAGCTTACTTAAACATGATTGTAGGATGTTTTTCTTCAATATTATATTAATTAATATTTGGTAAAATAAAAAGAATCTGGAAGCCTCTGTGAACTTTACCTCTGGGAGCAAGCATATAGAATTAGTAGAAATATAAGGGGTTATATTTTTTCTTATGTTCAATATTTTTTGCTTGTTTCTTATTTGTTTGTTTATGTGGTGCCAGAAATCAAATCCAGGACTTCACACAGGCTCGGAGTATATTATAAAGCTGAGTATCATAGGTGGTTCTAAATGTCTTTGTTTAGGTTAATGTGTAGAAATATGTAATCAACATTAAAATTAATAATACAATTTTTAATTAATCTAAACAATTCTCTCATATATCTTAGAGCTCAATAACTCCTTTCCCACCTACTCAACTCAAAGCTAGTATTCTGATTTCTATTATTATAGCTTGATTTTATAAACTTCTTAACAGGATATAACTGGAATTGCACAAGAGTCACTCTTTTAAATACTATTTACTTAGTTCAATGCAATGTCTATGAGATTCATTTATACTGTTGGATTTATCCAAAGTTTGAGAATTTATTTTTTTTAATTTAATTTAATTTAATTAATCAATAGCTGTGAAGATACATGCCTTATAATATTACTCTCATGCACAAATACATACTTTCTAATTTAAATGAATAGTCACGAAGACATATGCCTTATAGTGTTACTCTCGTCCATGCAACATAAAATGTGCAAACTAAAGATTAGATCTTAGATGTATGTTTGTTTTTAATGGTTTTGAAAGTCTATTGCATTTATTCTGTCAAACATCCAATATATCGTCTTAGAAAAGTACAAAGTTGGAAACATTACTCACATCTTAGTATAATAGCAGTGTTAAGAAAAAATACTGCTCTGGTCTCTGTAGTATCTCAAGGTCCTGGAAAAAGACCTGGGACATAGCAATTACCTGGTAGATTTTCACTGTCTAACAAGTGAACATCAAGGGAAAAGAATCTTAAGTCTTTTTTTTTTTTAATTTTCAGATTGTTGGCAAGGAGGCCTCTTCTAACCCCAATATTGGTATAAGTATCCTGATGGGTGTGAGTGCTACCATCATGATTCTGGGTTTCTTGGGATGCTGTGGTGCCCTTACTGAAAACCGGTTTTCCTTGTTTGTGGTGAGTTCTTCATGCAAATCCCAAGTTCCAGAATTTAGACTTTGAAGGAACTTCTGTTTCCTTTTTCTATCCAGAAGACTTGTCAAGATGGATAAAACTCTTAACTTCAGAAGCTTTGTTTGTGGAAGGTAATAGTTTAGTTTAGGGGAAAAGATGTGCTGAGAGTAGACATTTTATTCATTCATTAGTTCATTTGTGCATTTTTACCCATTGTTTGCTCTATACCAAATAGAGCAAGAAATTATAAACAGCCTTTATGTACTAAAACACTGAGAGAAATTGGCTGGCAAGCGTTATACTACCATGGGAGAAGGTCCAAGAAGAATAGAGGAGGCGACTATCAAGTCTGGGGAAGAAATAAATAAGGCATTTGCCTGATGGAGGATGTAACTAACTTTCCAGAGGTAGATCCTGGAGATGCAACAGGAACATGTTTAGGGTATTGCAAGCCCTTGGATATGGCTTGAAGTGATATAATTTATTTTCAGTAAATGATGAAAGTCAAGTCTGAATGTGCACTGTTGTCAAATCATGTTCATGCTAAAAAAAAGATAAAAGGGTGAGATCAGATTTGTCACTTAGAAATCTTCAAGGAGGATGATTATGTTGGGGTAACCACAGACATTGATTTTAACATATACAGAAAAAAATGGTGAACATAGAAACCTATTAGACGATATCATCAACTTATTTACACATATATCTGACATAAGTTTATCAGATTTTATCTATTTTTATGATATTGGGTCAATACAAACATATTTTACTGTTTTTTAAATGAGAGGAGACAGGATTTGAAGGGAATTTTACAATAGCCAAAATGGGTGCCTTGTAATTTAGAAGGCCCCTTTGCATTTGGGTGACTTAATTACTTGGGAAGCTGTGTTAAGGTTTTTTTTTTTTTTTTAAGAAAGTTAATTTGTGAACTGCTTTTCCAAAATTCTGATTTAGTCAATCTGGTTTAAGTTTCAGAAATTTACATTTGTAACAAGCCTGCATGTTATTCTTAATGGTGGAAATATGGTTTTAAACCCAGTTCCAATTTAGTGTTTGATGAAGGAGAAAGAATAATATTCAATAATTTCATCAAGGCTTTCAAACTTTATTCCATTCACATCATGCTGATCCCACTAATTTTTATCAATACTTTTGTTTTGTCTTAATCACTTTCCTTGGTCAGTCTTTGAAATCAATATTTCTTTATAGTAATGACCCCAAAGTTTCTTGATGGGGAAGAATAAATGAAGTATGTGGTTAATATTCCAATTATTATACAGTCTAACTGCAGAAAGAAGTGTCAGGCTGAAATGTTTCAAGATGTTACTGAACATATTAGGGAAAGTATAATTCATTCCTTTTTCTTTTTGTCTTTCAGTTTTTTGTAAGTTTGTTTGTGCTCTTAATCATGCAGGTGACTGCAGGCATCTTATCACTTGCTTTCAAATCTCAGGTGTGTACACATATATTTGATGATTTTCAAAAAGTGTGAAAAATGATAATACTTGCTACTGGTGTAATGATTTAACAATGCATATTTTTTCAACTTTCAGATTGACTTCATTTTTAGAGAGTCTATGTCTAAAAACGTCAAGCTTTTGGAATCAACAGATGAAAGTGCAAAGCATTTCCAGGAAATTCTGATTGCATATCAAGAAACGGTAACTATATTTTGTAGATTACTTAGAGAGTTGGTCATAGTTCAGGCATGTTTTCCTAATTTTTTCCTTAAAAGGCTTATTTACTAAAGATTAAAAACTCAATTTTGATATTATTCTGCCACAATGGAATAAGAAACATACAATATTCTTGCTTATTTTCTAGTTTATTACCAAGTTCTGAAACAGTTTGGAAGAAAAATAAATATTTAGGAAAGATTGAGTCAAATCAGCAATTGCTTTAATCTCTCTCTCCCCCTTCCTCCCAGTCTATCTTCCCATTCCTTCTCAGTATTTTCTTGTTCTGCCCTTTCCTGGCTATGTTCCCCTGTCCCCTCCAGAATTTATTGCTGCTTGCTATGTACCAGGTTTTTTATTTAGTTGCCCATTTAATTCTACCAGTAACTCTATGGGATGGATAATACCATTGTTCTCATTTTCCATATTTTACAGATATTTGGGTTTGGAAAGGTCTGAGCTAAGAAGTGATAGGGTTAGAATTTGTTGCGCATATTGTTTGACTTGTCAATTATTTAATGAGTGTTGAAGACATTTTTTCTGTTTTTCTATTGAGGGTAAAGTCAAAACTTGTATAGGTGTTGATTGAAGGTATGTTACTATCTGAGAGCCTAATTAATTATTTAACTTTGCTAAATGTGACTATAAAAGACTTCAATCCAGTATGATTTTTCTTCTTAGGATCACAAACAATTCTGTTAGCCTGCCTTCACATCATTTCACATCTGTGAAATGATCTTTATACATTTCTCTTTGTTTCCAAATACACATTTACTTGAAGAATTGACTAAAATATGACTTTGTGAAACTCCTTCTAAACATACTTCCACCCATAATTTTCACCATGTTAGCTACAAGTAGAATTCATATTCTATATATTTTAGAAATAATTTTGCTATGCTAGAAGTTGAACCCAGGCTCTCAGATATTCAAGGTATAGGCTCTATCACTGATTCACATCCCTGGCTCTTAGAATTCTTAAAATCTTAGAGGAAAAATGTATTTTACATACATTATTTAATCTATATACTTATTAATTCAAATATTTTATAGTTATGCTAGTCTATAATCAAATCTTAAAGATCTAAGTTACAATTTTTGCCTTTCTTATCTTAATTACACCCCAGCATGATTGCTATTTTAATTCATCATGTTAAATAAAATCTACATCCTAAAAATATACACCATTTAGTCCTTCTATAGATTCAGAAGAAAAAGTAAATGTTTCCACATGTTGCAATTAAAATAAAAATCTATTACATGACTTCTAATAGTTCTGTTTTGAAGTTGTAATGGCCTAGGGTTTTTATCTGCCAGATGAATTTTTTAGAACATTTCCTAATTATTGTTTGAATAGAGCTTATAAAAATTGTTTAATGATCATACCTAAGAGTTGACATCTAATATGTATCAGTTCTTGTTTAATTCCTAATATGTATCAGTTCTTGTTTAATTCCATTACATTATACTTTTCTTAGCTATCCAATAGTTGCATCCTCAATTCTTTCTTTCTTCTATCTTTCTTCTTATCCCAGATTATTTATTCCTGCTTTTTAAAAAAATATTTATTGAATCACTGTGAGACAAACAGTTTCAAATTTTTCAAAATGAGTTTCAGTCATACAATGTTCCAGCACCCATCTTCACCAGAGAATATTTCTTGCCACTGATGTCCCCAGTTTCTCTCCACCCACAACTCCACCAACACCCCCATAGCCTGCCTCTGTGGCAGACTTTTCCTCTCTCTCTTTCTCTCTATCTCTCTCTATCCCCATTAGGCAATATGGTTCGTAATTCATAAAGGATATTGTGCATATCATTTACCTCCTTTCAGCACTCAATTTTTGTCCAAAGTGGTCATTTCCAACAATCATTGTAATTGTGGTTCCTTCTCTGTCCTAACTGCACTCACCCTCTTTGTGAAAAGCTTCCTACCATGGGCCAATCCTCCTGACCCTTGTTTCTATTGTCTTTGGTGATTATTCACATACTATGCTTATTATTTGTCCTTCAAATAAGTACAAACATTCTATGTTTGTCTCTCTCTCTCTGAATGATTTCATTCAGCATAATAATCTCTATGACCATCCATGTATAAGCAAATTTCATGACTCATTTTACTAAGAGTTGTATAGTATTTTATTTGTGTAGACGTACCAAAGTTTCTTTATTCATTCTTCTGCTCTCAGGCACTTTGTTTCCAGATTCTGACTACTGTGAATAGTGCTCCATAGTAGTGCAGATGGCGTTTCTGCATTGTGTTTTGGGGTCACTAGGATATATTCCCTAGGAGCAGTATTGCTGGGTCATATGGAAGCTCAATTTCTAGTATTTTGAGGAATGTCCCCGTTATTTTCCAGAAAGACTGATCCAATTGGTATTCCCACCAGCAGTGAATGATAGTACTTTTCTGTCTGTATTCAAGCCAGCAGTACTTGTTCGTTTTGATGTGTGCCAATCTCTGTGGAGTGAGAAGATATCTCATTTTTATTTTGTTCTGCATCTCCACAGATTATTAGTGATGCAGATTAGTGATATGATTATTAGTGATCTGATTAGTGATGCAGAGCACTTTTTCATGTGCCTTTCGTCCATTTGTATTTCTTTTTTCAGAAAGTTTCTGTTCATCTCTTATCCCCATATTTTGATGGGGTTGGAGTTGTTTTCCTTGTAAAGTTTTACCAGTGTCTTATATATATTGGATATTGATCCCTTATCAGATGAATGCTGGGTAAATGTTTTTCTGTGGACTGTCTTGTATTCTGATCTTGTTTCATTTGAATTGCTGTGGCTTCTTAGTTTAATACAGTCCCATTTGTTTATCTTTGTTTCCACTTGCTTGGTCAGTGTTGTTTAATCCTTGAAGATGCCTCTAGATTCAACATCATGGAGAGTTCTGCCTATGTTTTTCTCTATGAACTTTATGGATTCAAGTCTGATATCAAAGACTTTAATCTACTTTGATTTTATTTTTTGCGTGGCACTAATTTTTTTCCTTGTATCTGGCCAGTTTCCCCAACACCACTTGATGAAGAGGCTTTCCTTGCTCCACTTAATATTTTTTGCTCCCTTATCAAAGATTCACTCATCATATTCCTGAGGGTCTATCTTAGGATATTCAAGTCTATTTCATTTATCTAAGGGTTTGTCTTTATTCCAATACCGATGTTGTTTTGATAACTATCACATTGTAGTACAGTTTGAAGTTGGATTAAAAAAAATGTCTCTCATTTCTTTCCCAAGGACTGCTTTAGTTATTTGGAGGAGTTTATTATTCCATAGAAATTTAAGGAGTTTTTGATGTGTTTCTTTTACAAAAATGCCATTGTCCTTCCTATATGCAAATAATGAGACAGAAGAAATGACAGGAAAAAAAAAAACAATCCCATTCATAATTGTGCCCCAGAAAATCAAATACCTCGGAATCAGCCTAACTAAAGAGGTAAAGGACATCTACAATGAAAATTACAAAACGTTACTTCATGAAATAAAAGAGAACACGAGGAAATGGAAAAATATCTCCTGCTCACGAATAGGAAGAATTAGCATTGTCAAAATGGCAATACTCCCCAAAGCACCATACAGATTCAATGAGATCCTTATAAGGATAACCCATGAAATTCTACAAAGAAATAGATCAGGCACTCCTGAAATTCATATGGTACAACAAATGTCCACGAATAGCTAAAGCAATTCTTGGGGAAAAGACGTGGGGAGATATTACCCTTCCCAACCTCAAACTCTACTACAAAGCAGTAATAATTAAAACAGCATGTTACTGGAACAAAGGCAGGGCTGCAGACCAATGGAACAGGGTGGAATATCTGTACACACAACCCCAAATGTATGAACATCTTGTCTTTGATAAGGGAGAAAGAAATGTGAAGTGGAGCACGGAGAGCCTCTTCAACAAACAGTGCTGGCATAACTGGACAACCACATGCAAAAAAATGGGCTTAGACCTCGACCTAACACCAGGCACAAAAGTCCGATCAAAATGGATTAATGATCTCAACATCAGGCCAAAATCCAAAAGGTACATCGAAGACAGGGTTGGCAAGACCCTCCACGATATTGAGGCTAACGGTATCTTCAAAGATGACACTTCACTGACCATCCAAGTGGAAACAGAGATAAACAAATGGGACTATCTTATATTAAGAAGCTTTTGCACCTCAAAAGATACAGTGACCAGAATACAAAGACAATTTACAGAATGGGAAAGGATATTCACCCAATATTCATCTGATAAGGGGTTGATATCAAGGATATACAAAGCACTATTTGAACTCTACAAGAAGAAAACATCCAACCCCATCAAAAATGGGGTGATGAAATGAACAGAAACTTTCCCAAAGAAGAAATCCAAATGGCTAAAAGGCACAAGAGAAAATGCCCTACATCATTAATCATCAGGGAGGTGCAGATCAAAACAACAATGAGATATCATTTCACACCACAGAGACTGGCCCACATCCAAAAGAACAAAAACTACTAGTGCTGACGCAGATGTGGCAAGAAAAGGACCCTCCTTCACTGGTGGTGGGAATGCCAACTGGTTCAGCCTTTTTGGAAAACAGTATGGATGATTCTCAAAAAATTAGAAATTGAGCTCCCATTTGATCCAGCAATACCACTCCTGGGAATATATCCTAGAGAGGCAAAAAAGTATAGCCTAAATGAGATCTGCACTTCTATGTTCATTGCTGCACTGTTCACGATAGCCCAAATCTGGAAAAGCCCGAGTGCTCGCAAACAGATGACTGGTTAAAGAAACTTTGGTACATCTACACAATGGAGTATTATGCAGCTGTTAGAAAGGATCAAGTCATGAAATTTACATACAAGTGGTACTACATGGAAAGTATCATGCTAAGTGAAATGAGTCAGAAAGAGAGAGACGGACATAGAAAGATTACATTCATCTGGAGGATATAAAGTAATAAGATAGGAGACTAATGCTCAAGAATAGCTGAGATAAGTAC